TATATACAACAACATTTAACTGTGGAGCCCATTGTTCAAATTCTTTTTGCCAAGACGCCATGGTTGATAAAGGGACAACGAGCAAAAAAGGTCCAAAAAGAGCATGTTGTTCATAAAGGTAAGCCAAAAAACAAATGGTTTGAATAGTTTTACCCAAACCCATTTCATCAGCTAATATCACTGAATTTTCTTTACACCAGGTTTGAGCTAACCAGTTTAAACCATCTAACTGATAATCACGAAGATTTAATTCAAGATCACCGCCAAGATAGTCGGGTTCTTTTTTGAGAGGAACGAACTTGGGTCTGGTTTTGAGTACTTTACAAAATTTGGTCGGTGTCCTCTGTGATTTTTGACGTATGTTATACTCTTCTATTTTCTTGGGAAACTTTTTCTGTATCAGTGAACCTTCTTCCCAGGTAACTTCAGCATAAGGTAAACCTTCAAATTTACAAAGATATTCTGGAAATGAGGAGTCCGTCTCACGAGACGGTTGATGGGCAATGATCCTTTCAACATTCATATGTATTAACGTTAGCTGATCAGCCATTTCTTCTTGACAATCATAATATTCGATCTCTTCAGGAGAAGCAGAATTTTTGAGCATATTAATTTCATCTTCTCTTTTTAAGTAATTTTCGATCTTTTTAATTCCTTTAGCCTTGACAGCTATTAAACTTTCCTCACTTTCCCATGTGTTGTGAAGATGAGACCAGCCTTTCCATTTTATCAAAAATTGCACCTCTTGTTCACTTTCATCACATTCTGGATCATTTGGATCACCGTTAAACTCGATATTGTAAGGTTTTGTGGCTTCCCCTGTAGCACCCTTTTTTCCTTTACGATGAGCTAATACTTTTTCAATTGTTTCGCCAGCCTCTGCTTCAGCAGCCGCTGCTTCTGCAGCTTCATCCCATTGTACATCCACCAAATCATCTGAATCGGTACGATCACTTTCTTCTTTATAACTGACAACTTTCTTAGGTCGCCGGGTACCACGACGTTCTTCATCTTCATCATCATCTTCTTCTTCAGTTTCTTCACTGTCATCACTAGTTGTCTCACTACTTTTTACACGGCGTCTAGATCTTCCTTTAGATTGACGCGTTTTACGAGCTACAGAGGCAGCAGTGGAACGACGAGTAGATGTTCGAGTTGATCGACCACTGGTACGACGGACAGGCGATGGTTCACTGTTATTGTCCTCGGATGAGCTTGAAGACGAACTACTATCATCAGTTTCATCCCAATCTTCTGAACTGTAAGACCAGGTCAAGATGTAAATAAAGAAAAAAAGAAAAGTCAGAAATCAATTTTGGTTAAAAAAAACAAAAACAAAAGTGATGGATAAATGAATGCTGTTGACAAAAAACAATGCCAATAAGGATACAATTAAAGGTCAGACAAGGTGATAGTCTGATGGTGTGAGGACACATTAACAGTTGATCAACAATTTAAATCAAGTTCTTTCGATACCTTTAAACGGTACCTTAAATAAAAAGTGAAAGCAGAAAAAAAGAAAAAGAGCTTGTTGATGATACAAAGGCCTTGCTTCTTTTGCCTACTGAGACATCATCAAAGTTGTCTGTTTACGGGTGACCCTTTAAAAACACTCTAGTAGTCATACTCACTCTCCTCTATTGGAACGTCCACCTTGATGATCTTCACTTTCGTCTGATTCACATGAACTTCCCGGTTTCATGATAAAAAAGAACCAAATTTAAAACACCATCAATCGAGTTACAAATTAATTGTTGGTTCAAAAAAACATTGTGAAATAATTTTATAAAGCAGCAGTAAAATGAAGCATACATCCAATTACAAATTTGGGTCAATAGATGGTGTTGTTACCGGCATATTGGGTATTGGTTATAAAGATAGGATCAGAACTCACTTTTCTTGTACTCTCATATTTGAAGGGGAAACAGGCTTTTCAAGTTAAACTGCTTTTCCCTCTTTACATCATTTCAACGCTTTTTACTCTACAGCCATCTATCAGCTTACACACCCGTTTTGTCAAAATGTGAGGAGTTTAAATGTACCAAGTATTTAGTTGTAATTCATTACTTTAGATGGCTCTTTAAGTAAAACCGTTTAAACCTCAATTATTTAACTGTTTTTTAAACAATTGAATTAAATTTGAACACTTCAAGTTTTGAATGAAAAAATCAAAACAAAGCTAGTAAAAGTTAAACCTGGTCGCTTGTTTTAACACGAGTTTTCCTCATAGAGTATAACTCGATAATAGAGTATTTCATCTTTATGCTTTTGTTGTCCATTTTTCAATTCTGTGCAGCAATAATGAAATGTTAAATCAATTTAACTTGGAAATGTGCTTTGATTTTGGTTAAATATGGTCGTCATTTGATAAATTTTATACATTTATAAGATATTTATAAGATATAATTGTGAAATGTTATTTTGGGGATTCTCTTTTGCTGTTGAAATGTGTTTTGGATTGATATTTTTGTATTTGTATTTGTCTTCCACTTGTAATTATTGATCTTGAATTGCCGTATCAAAAAAGAAAATTGATAATTATCAGAATTTTTAGAAGCTTCCGTTTCTAACCTAAAATAAGCCATCAAAATGAGCAGATAAAATGTTGATTAAGCCTAAAATAAATAATGAGAGATAATACTGTGCAATCTATTTCTGGAAAGAGAAAAGTTTAATGAATTTTGGCCATCAATTTTAAAATGCCCATTCAATATCAATAACTAATGCTGGATAATCTTGTTTGATTAAAATAGCAAACCCTTAAGTCGGTAGCTCAGTAGCCTAAATCTAAATGGCAAAGAAATAAATTAATCAACAACAATTAAACTAAAACCCATTGAAACACAGAATCACTTATAGTCACAATCCAGACTAAAAGAGGGAGACAGTGAGATGTAAAGCAAGACTAAAAAGCCAAACGAGATGATCATGTTTCAACAAACGAAATCAATTAAACAAACTAAACGCAAAAGTCAACATTTAAACAAGCATGGCTAGCAAATAAAAGCAAGAAGTCACAATAAAAGAAACAAAGAAAAAACTGAAACCACAAACACTAAACACTAAACAACAACATAAAAAATCGAAGCAAAGCACAATAAAAAAGGTCGAAACCAACAAAGAAAAAGCCTTAAAAGCGTCTCTTTAAAAGTCCAAAAATTAAAACACGAAAAGCAAAAATCCAAATCACAATAAAAAACAAAAGCAAACTTAAACTAAACCAAATAAATTGTCATCAACAACTAAACCATCAAACAGTAATAAACAAAAAAAGCAAAAGAAAAAACAAGTTGCATACAAATGCAAGAGATGGCGTAAAGAGCGATTTAAACGCGAAATTTGAACGCCTTTTGCTCTGCCCATTTCAACGAAAGGTCCAACCTTTTGAAAACAAATGCAACTGGAAACATGAGCATTTATATATACTTATATATCCATTATAGGATGGTATGAAAGCCTCTAAACCTTTGTATTTCTGGCTCAAGTAGGAGTGTCTTGACTAACCATTGAATGTAAAGTAAAAGCTATTGGGAACCTTTTCCTTGAACATTTATCATGAACATCAACAGAGATGTGATAAGTGTGCGCACAAAGTAGGCTGAACCTTTCGACTTTTTGGTCCAACATTTTTCAATCTTCCTCATCCTCATCATCCTCATCTTCATCCTTTTTCCAGATTATTTTATCTCTTTCTTTTCTCAATCAAAGCTTCTTTTTTCGCTTCTTCTTCTTCTTCGCGACTCTCTTTCACTTTCTTTCCGTTCAAGACGCCACTGAAAATAAAACGTTGTTCAAACAACTTTGACCTATTCAGCAAATTAAAATCATTTAATAACATGAACACACACCGAAATACAATAAACAACTCTTTACACCTTAAATCATCCTTTTAATACCATTGTTAACCAAAGCCCAACATCACACACATTGAACTTTATTAAGACTTGGATATTTTTTACACTCGTAACCATTGGACAACAACCTTTAACCAAATTGTAACAATTAACATCTCTATTGTGAAGTGAAAAGTGAATGTTGATGTGCGTTTCAATTAATCGTTAAAAATCGAGTTCCATCTATAACCATCTTCCAATGAGAATTAATCGACACGCAAAAAGTGGACTTTAAAAGGTAAGATCATTTCATCCATAACATTGACCATAAGAGTAACAATTGTTGACTTTTAGTTGAAAACGCTTTCCATTTTTGATAAAAGTCAAGTGCATTGAGAAAATGATAAATGCCTTTAATCAATTGTTAACCAACGTTTTCCCGTTGTTTTGCCAATTGGTGACTTTCAATGTTAATTGGAGTCAAGCTAAGCTGAACCTTTCCGCAAGATCATTAGTCAAATGATGAACGATATTCATTATGAACAACTGATTTTCTTGGAAACAAGAAAATGAATTAAATTTGAATAACAAAAAAGAGTTTCAAGTTCAACTGTGACAAAAGAGTTTCCCGCATCTTAATTTGATAACAAACCAATTTAACCCAATTCATTATTCATAATCTAATCATGATGATAGAGTTTAAAAAAATGATAATTATTAAGTGGAAGAAACAGTGAACAAAAAATTCGCAAATGATTAGTTGAAGAGTAAATTACTGAGTCTAGATGATGTTTTAATGATAATGTAATATTTGAATGGGAAATATGATATTTGAATATGATGAGAAGAGGCCAAAAAAGCAATTTAATTTACAAAAGATGAACATGAAAAAAAACTATCAATTGATGGAGTTACTTTTTAGCCATTTAGATGAAGATGATAGTCGATACCTTTTTGGCAACAATAAAATTGCTTTTTACTTAAAAGGTAACAACAATGATGATGATGGTAATGATGATAAATGTACAGAGAGAACTGAGAATGTAACAAAATCTATGTTATCCTGATATCGACAGAGATACTGTTTGGCACAGTTGACGGAGAGAAGCAAATGGATATGAAGAAGAAGAAGAAAGTTGGGAAAACAAAACTTAACCAAAGCGTATTATTGCCATTGGTTTTGACACACACTCACACTAACAAAAGTGTCGATAGTAAGTTTTTTTTTGTCAACAAATTTGACAGAAATTCAATCCTACCTTTAAATGGCTTCCAATTGTCTTCTCATATTCAATTGCTTCTCTTCATTCCTAGGTTTCTTCTCATTCACTTTTCTTCCTTTCTTCTCAAACATTTTTACCTTGATTCTTGTCATCACCTTTCTTCTCCTCCTACCTCATCTACTCATCAACCTTGACTAACAATGTGTCCAAAAGTCAACCTTTCCAAGTCAAAGGTATGCCATAATATTCAACATTATTCAATTGATGGTAAAAAGCTGTTCAATGTTTCGACCTTTTCATCGAATTGACTTTTTTTCAATTTTTCGCCTTTTTTGTACTTTTGTTGCAAGATTGGTTTGGAAAGGTTTGAAATTTATTTTTATTTTTCGAGTTCGAAGTTTGGATTTTTGTTTTGATATCGATCGTTTAGTAGTTTAGTTTAATGGTTATGAAGCTGTAATGAAACTTGATTTTGAGGTTTTTTTGAGCCTTGATAAGTCAATTGTTGTTGGAAGTTTAATTTTGTCTCAATTGAGAGATGCTAATTGAACCAAGACAAAGCTCATTGGTTCCATGGATTAAAACAGCGTAACTGAAATCTCTATTCAGTTGACAGTTTTTTTCTCTTCTTACCCAACTGATTACAATAAAAAATGTGTCCTCCGATTGTACATTAGTTTAATTGTTGAACCATCAACAGAAAAGTTTCACCGCTTTTCTCGTTTAAAATGAACCTTTGATGGACAAGCATAACCAAGCGTTTCCAATCAACGAAATAATGAAACAAAATGTAACCAAATCAAGGCGTGTTGACACACAAAGGTTTTCAAATTGACAAACAAAAAGCAACAATCGAATCGACATCAACAAATCGAAACAAAATTTGAAACAAAACTAGAATGACAGAATCAAAGAAAAACAAATTTCCAAACAAATGTTTCAAACTATTTCACTTTTTTTTCCTAATCAAGAAAATAGTAAATCGATGAAATTTCAAAAAAAGTTTCACTTCGATGTAGCTCAAGAAAAAGTAAAGCAACAACGAGTTTGAATAAAGGTTGAATTTTGATTGACAAAAGTGAGAAGAGATGAAAGAAGGAAAAACGAAAATCTCTGTCCATCTGTAGGATCTTCCGAGTGACTGAAGATTTTTTGATGAATTATGATAGGAAGAAGAAGAAGAAGAAGAGAAATGGATGAAGATGGACTTTGAAGTAAAAAGTGAGATGAAAGTTTTACTCTCAACTCATGTTAAGAAGCAACTAATTAGTAAACTATTAAGTTTGTTTAAAACTCGAAGCTTTTAATCAATCGTATCGATCAGGCGTGACATGTCTTTTCCGCTTTTCAACTTCATCAACTTCATTTTGAGATTCATCATCAATCGCCAAAAGAAGAAGCAAAAAGGCAGAAAAGTTTGCACGCTAAACTCACACGCACTGAAGAAGAGTGAAGATAAGGAATGAAGATGAATGATAAAATAGACAACAGGCTAACATGTAAACTGTAAACATGAACCCACCCAATGAGGAACCACCTTTTTCCATCTTCTTTTTTCTTCTTCTTCTTCTTTCATCATATTTTTACCTTGTGATAAGCATCTTAAGACAGGTTAATGATTATCAATAGCTGATGATGATCATCATCATTTGAATGTCATCTTCATCATTATCCTTCGATAATCATGTTACCTTTTTGACTGCATTTTTATTTTACTTTTTTCTTCTTCTTCTTTTTCCTCAACTTAATCCAAAGTCTCTTTCAACTTTTCATTTTTTAACTTTACTTTTCTTGTTCTCTGCAAATTCATTACAAGAATCGTTTTATTGGTTCAATTGATACCATTTGCCTTGCCTTGGTTGACCTTTTCATTGATTATTATCTTGAAACTTTTCTGCTTCTCTTGACATTAATTATTATCAAATTATCGTTATTAAACAGTTGCTAGAAATGTCATCTTTTCATCATCAAGACCACCAGTTTGTTGTCAGATTAACCATTCAATGAAAGATTTTAAATGCTGATATTTACGCATTTTCAACACTTTAATCTGGATTCACTGTTGACGCCAATTTACTCAATGTTTACTATCGATTGTTCATTTTCAATTAAAGATTCTCCACTAATTGACTTGATTCATGAAAACTTCTGATAAGAAAAAGAAACATTTTAACGATGAAAAAGTAAATTTCCATTCAAAAAAGCGTTTCGATTTCGGAACTTTTCAAATCAAGAACATTAGATCTTGCGATTAAAAAATCAAAATTTTCTCATTATAAAAGTTCATTAGATAATTCGAAATGAATTAGATTAAAATACAAAATAATTTGAATTCGATTTTAGTCGAGTTTTTGAATTTCGAAATCGAAAAAAACATGAGAATTTCTGAAACACAAAAGGAATTGAATTTAAATATTGGAGCAATTTTTTCGGAAAATTTATTATTCAAATAGAATTTTGAAAAAATTCGAAATTTCCGACAATTTGATAGTTGATTTGATTCCATAAAAATGATGAATTGCTGTGTTAAGATACTTGACTGTTTGACTGAAGAACGTTTTTTGTCCATTTTTTGTTACATTTTTTGTTGTTTGGGCAAGAAAATTGTTGAAAGATCTTGAATTGAAATGAGAATAAGTTGACATTTTTTGGCCACTTGACGTGGGATCAATAATGAATTGTCCCGAAATTTGTATTCATCTTGTAATGCATACATAATGACTGTCTGTGTTTACTGTTGATGCCGATTTGAGGCTTAAAAGGATTAACCTGTTCAACAGACAAAGTCTCAACCTATTGTTTTCACTGTCTGGTTCTGTCCTTAAAGGTTGTCCTAGACAACACCAAATACACACTCAATAAGTCTATTCATTGCGTCTTGCCGAGTCGCTCAAGAGCTTTCAAAGCTTTCCAAGTTAATAAACTTTTTCAGTCTTTTCATTACAACCCAAACCAATTGGTTTGCACAAATAACTTGTAATAACTTGTAAATTGAAAGTATTACTAGTTGAACATAAACGGTTAAGAAACTAGTTTGCTTCATTTGTGGGCAAAAGACCCAAATCCCAATCTTCCGTTTACCTCAACAATCCTTTACAAGCTAATCCTTTAACCAATTTTGGGCCACAAATTGAACTCTTTCCGTCTCTTGACAAATTGATCACCTACAGTGTGTTGCAAAATATTGTGGCCAGTCAATTTTTTCGATTTTTTTGCTTCTAGCTGAGACTGATTGTTCAGAATTTAGATCAAACACATTCTTTTAAAACAAGCAGCGTTAATCTACCAAAATATGTGCTCAGATATTTCAAATTAACGTCTGCTTTAATTTGATCGATTAATCGTTGTTGCAAAATATTGTGGCCATAATCAAATTAATGTCATTTTTAGATAATTAGAGCAATTTATGGCGATTTTTTTATATTTAATTATAAAATAGCAGTGAATTTAACTATTCTGAAAGTTAAATACCAAAAAAGCAACTGGTTGTTGAAAAATTAAGAAAATAGATCTCCATAGGATTAACATTGAAAATCACTTAAATTTTGAATTATTTTAAAGTTAAATTATTTTGAGTAAATTTTTTTACTGAAATTGATTTCGTATACCAGATTACATCTGAAACTTTTTGAATTTTCGAGATCAGATGAAATTTGATGAAATTATGAGCATTTCTCGTCATTGTGAAAATGGCATCAATGTTTTCCTATGGGAAAAAAATGATCATTGACTTAAGATTAGAAAAATGCTCATCATTTCATCAAATTTCATCCGATCTCGAAAATTCAAAGCGTTTCAGATGTAATCTGTCAAACGAAATCAATTTCCGTAAAAAATTTTCAACAAAAAAAATTATCCTTAAAATAACTCAAAATTTACGTAATTTTCAATGTATTTCCTATGAGGGACAATTTTCTAATTTTTTTAGCAATCAGTTGATTTTTTGATATTAAACTTTCAGATTAGTTAAATTCACTGCTATATTGTAATAAAATATAAAAAAATATGGATCGAAATTGCATTCATTAGATGCAAATGCCATTAATCAGATTCTGGCCACAATATTTTGCATCAA